TCTTAGGTGAAAGCAGGGAATACCAGAGGAATGTCTATCTGTGTTTCATTGACTATGCAAAGGCATTTGACTGTGTAGATCATAACAAACTATGGCTGATTCTGAGAAGAATGCGGATCCCAGAACACTTGATCGTTCTAATGCAAAACTTCTACTTGGGCCAGGAGGCAGTCTTCAGAACAGAGCAAGGGAACACTGCATGGTTCAAAATTGGGAAGGAGGTAAAGGTGGGTAATGAAAAAGGGAAAGTATCCGTGTGAAAAACAATGTATATGAACTTTTCTTTTTTAGTAAACCAGTATAAAATTATTTTTATATAAAGAGTAATGAAGTCCTGATACCTACTGAAGCATGCATTAAACTTGTAACATAATTACAATTGAAGTTGTTCCCATAGGACAAACATGGCATTGTATTATTTCACCTATATGAATTATCTAGGATAGATAAATGCCTACAGATGTGTGGTACTAGAAATAAAACAGGAGAGGCAAAAGACAGTCACTAATTAAGAGGCACTGAGTTTCTGATAATACCGATGGAATTAAAAGGATAAGAATGATGGTTGAACAGTATTAACAAATGTTAACTGATTATTACAAGTGAAGAATATTAAAATTGAAAATGTTTTGCTAGATTATACATAAATTTATACATGATTTCGGGATAGTTTTTTAAAAATCCTAGATTCTTCAAATAAAATTAATAATAGATAGTCACAGCTAAAATGTATTTTTTTATTTCATGAGTTTTAATTTATGCATGATTATTCAGGCTAAAATTCCATACTAGTTTTTAGGAAACATTTATCCATGTTAAAAGAATCATATTTATTTTTGAAATATTTGCAAATTATTTTTTCGTTAAAAATTATAGTTAAAATTGAGAGATATAATTTTAATTGGAAGGTCAGTTTTAAAAACATTGAAGTCTATGTGAGTTTTTCCCTAATCTTGTTTCTATTTCTCTTCTTTACATGCTATCTTTGGTGTAGCAGACCACTTGGGGATTGAATTCATGGGTAAGATTAAATAATATGTTCCTTACATATCGTGAAAAATCTAATTTTTTATTATACGTGTAGTGCTCTCCTTCTTCATTTAATTTAAATCAACATGTCTCTTTGTCAAATATTCTTATTACCAATTTTTTCATCAATTTTTCATCATATAGTGAATCAGATTGAAAACTTAATTTTGGAACAAGTAATTCTAATATTAAGTGCTGTTTCTAGGATCCAAAGAAAAATGATTTAACCTAAATTTTAATTTACTCCTTTTAATTCTCAATTTTCTTATTGGTTAAAGAGGAAAGATAAAATGTTACTACACATATAAATTACTTATCACAACATAAGACTACAAAAGAAAAGAATATTAAAAGTGTAAAAAAACAATGATTCTTATTTTCTAATTTAATTATTTTTCCCTTTGCCTGATGACTATTTCTGGATATGTATTACTATTAAATTCAAATTAAAATGAGGACTAGATACACTTTTATATTTGTCAAATGAAAATATTTCTGAGGTCAAAACATTGAGCATTTCTCTTTTAAAAACATTAGAACCAGTATAAAATAATTAAAAAAGACGTTTTCTCAATAAAATTCTTGGCCTAGAAAAAAAAAGCATTAAAATTACTTCCCTTGGCATTATTCTCTATATTTACAGATAATTGTTTTTTACAGCAATTATAGCAGCATTAATGATTTAACATAACTAAAAATTCGACTGTGTTTGTTAGACTACATTTTAAGTAAAATTAAAAAATAATAATCTGTAAGGTTTGAAGTAACTTGCACCTATAGTGGAAATAGAAATTCTAGAGTTACAGTTGGTGAAACTGACATGGCTAAATTTGTAGGCAAATTTCATCATGCTTGGCTTTTTAGTTTTTGTTGCTTTTCATATTTTTTCACGTATATGTGAATGGTGATGGATATAAAATGGTAATGGAAATTATAGAAAAAAAAAAAAAAAAAAAAAAAAAAAATGGTAATGGAATGATGTGGATATAAAAGCTTGATTATACCTCTGTCTTGAAGAGAGTGAAACTAAGTTTCTCTTTGGAGGCAAAGATTTTGAAATTCCATCTCACATACTTTGGGCACATGGCCAGGAAAGACCAGTCCTTGGAGAAGGACATCATGCTTGGAAGGGTGAAAGGATAGCACAGGATAGGAAAATGCCCAGATGAGATGGATTGACATGGTAATTGGGACAATGGTATTAGGTGTGTCAAAGTCAATGAGACTGGCTCAGCATAGGTACATAGGGTTGCTGTGAGTTGCAGGCAACATGATGGCAGAAAACAATTTAATGTAATCAATATTAAAAATTTTATATTATCAATATGATAATATTCAATATATATTTTCACTTTTATAAATGTCCAAGAAAAATATATTAAGATGCTAGAGATATAATACAGACTGAAAATCTGGTTTCATAGAATTTATAATTTATGAAGATTATTAACCAGATAATAAAATTATAAATAGCAAGTTTCCAATTTCTTAAGATCTACTTTCAGTAATATGATATTCATACTAGTATAAGGTAAATAGATATTTGGAAAGTATTGATTGAGATTGTTAACAATTTCATCTTGCTTTGATCCACAATCAACACTATTAGCACTTGCAGACAAAAAAAATTAAAAGACAAGTTTCTTTAAGAAAGTCTGCTGTCGATAAGGGACTTATATCTAGAATTCATAAAATACTTGAAAACCACAACAAGATAAAGGTAAATAATCCAGTTGAAAAATGGGCACAGGATATGAATAGACACTTTACCAAAGAAGGCATTCAGATGGCCAATAAACACATGAAGAAATGTTCGAAATCTCTAGCTCTAAGAAGCAAATCAAAACAACTATGAGATATCATCTCATCCCAGTAAGAATAGCAAAATTTAACAGAATAGCAAGCAGCAAATGCTGGTGAGGTTGTGGAGAAACTGTAATCCTTATTCACTGTTGGTGAAAGTGTAAAATTGTGCAACCACTGTGGAAAGTGGTGTGGCGCTTTCTCAAAAAGATGCAAATAGAACTACCATTTGACCCAGCAATTCCACTACTAGGACTACACCCTAAAGAGACCATAACCGACATCCAAGCAGATATATGCATTCCCATATTCATCACGGCGTTGCTCACAATAGCAAGGAGTTGGAAACAGCCTAAGTTCTCATCGACAAATGAATGGATAGAGAAGCTGTGGTATATTCACACAATGAAATACTACGCAAAAAACAAGGAACTCATGAAATATTATTCAAAATGGGTGACCCTGGAGGACATTATGCTGAGTAAAATATCTCAGCCACAAAAAGACTAATACTGCATAGTGTCACTGTTGTAGAATGGGACTGACATCAGGGTTGGGGTAAGACTGAGAAAAACTGGATAGATTATGTATACTGAATTGAAACAGATGAGGGAGGGAACAGTTTAAAAACGATATATGATAGGATATTATGATTATCACAGGAATCCAGAATTAAGGTTGCATAGTGGAGTGTATTCGACGTGAGGAGAGGGGTGGAGGTGGGGGGAATATATACCAAGGAAGATGTTTATCTTTTGCTTTTCAAAGAGAGGAACGAACTGGGCGAGGGGTGGGGAGGGTTAGAGAAAAAAGTACAACAATGAATGAATGGAAATCCAAAATCTCTGTAAATGGTCATTAAAATTAATAAAATAAAATTTAAAAAAAGAAAGTCTGCTGTCAAGAACCTCTCCAGAATACTGAAGATCATATCAGTCCAGACATGGCCTTCTGAAATACTTGCTATGTATCTGAGAGCTGGACAATGACAAAGGATGACAGAAGAAGAATTGATGTTTTTCATTTGTAGTTCTGGAAAAGAGTATTTAACATATTATGGATTGCCAAGGGAAGAAACAGATCTGTCCTAGAGAGGGTGAGACCAGGTCATTCTTTGGAGGCAAGAATTTTGAAACTGTCTCTCATTTTTTGAGCATGTTGCCAGGAGGGAGCAGTCTAGGAGAGGGATATCATGCTTAGAAAACTAGAGTATCAATGCAAGAAAGGAAGTCCTCAGATGAGATGGATTGGTTCAGTGACTGTGGCAATAGGAGCAAGTATGTCAGAGATGGTGAGATTGGCTCAGGAAGGTCAGGATTCAGCATTGCTAGTCAACTAGATGGCACATAACAATGACAACATCAACAAGAATATGAACAATGAATACTGGAAGAGAAAATATCTACTAATGATGAATGCAAGACCTGTAGTTTTCATACTAGAATAATTTATGGATCTGTTTGGTGAGAGAGAATGCAAATTAGACTTACTAGATTGAAGCTATGTGCCATTAAGAAAGAAATTACCATAATTAATCCTCCAGCATGTTTTCGGTGTATGCAAATTTCACAAGAGGGTATAGCTCATCTTTCCCCGTAAATCATCTGGTAGGTTAGTAGCACATGCCTCTGGGTTGTCCATATAACTCCTTACCACTATTCTACCAAAACTCCATGTTGCTGTTGTGTACTGTAGAGTCAGAACCAACCCATAACTGACCCTCTGATGGGTTTTCAGAGGTAATTAATTGTACAAGAGGAGATTGTGCATCCTTCTCCTGGGGAGCAGCTGGTGTCCTGGAACCATGTGCCTTTGAGATTGTAGTGAAACTTCTCCAAAGATATGTAAATATCTCCATAGATATGTAAATATTGCATTTGAAATAAATCTTAAATATATCTGAAAGAAGGTATCAAGTTGTTGTTTTCTTCAAAGTCGAGGGTCAATTTCAGATTAGTGATCCTGTATTTATACTGTATTTGGCTTTTCTTAGAGTATGTTAATATACACTAGTTTGTAAAATTGGATTAGAGGATTTTAAAAATGTTAACTACATGCCAAAGTCTCCAAAAAACAAAATTAAGCACACGAGAGAGAGCCAACTACAACATAACAATGGTGATATGGTGTATATAATTAGGTATCAGTTATATCAACAAATAACCTCAAAAAATAATAACAAATAACATTAACAAATAAGGTCTAAAATATTATAGTGGCAAAAAAAAATAACTTATTTACTGATATATCATGTTTTGGGCTTGCTACCCAGAGAGAAAGTTCCTCAAAACATATTGAAAAACTGACTTGGAGATCAACTCAAAGACATTGAAACTGGAAACTGTACAGCCCCACTGGCTTTGGGCCAGAAAATTACTCTGAATATGGGGGAATGCAGCCAACTATTTTATACAACTACACTAACAACCACCAATACATAGCAAAGTTAAGAACTATGTAAACTGCTGAGAAAATATTACAGTACACAAGTTTAGGGAGCTTTGGTGGCCTAGTGGAAAGAATCTGTGCTGCAGTTTCAAAAGCACAAGGTTCAGTTCCACCAGCAGCTTTGATGGAGAATGATGAGCAATCTTCTCCCAAATGAAAACTCACTGGAGGGTCAGCTATGGGTTGGTTCCAACTCGATGGTATGCAACAACAACACAAAACCTTAGTGTAAGGGGAAAACTGTCACCTAATCAATATATATCTAGTTCAGCAAATGTGCCTAAAAACAATAAAGGGGACTGTTTAGTTTGCCCTCATTCAGGGAAGAAACTATAAAAACAAATCTAAGTTAAAGCATCAGGATGGATGGTGAAGAGATTGAAACTGTACACAGCTTTAGTTTGCTTGGCTCCATAGTCAACAGTCTTGGCACCAGCAGCCAGGAAATTAAAAGGCGCATTGCCATGGGAAAGTCTGCTGTTAGGGACCTCTCCAAAGTACTGAAGAGCAATGGTGTCTCTCTGGAGAGTAAGGTGCGCCTGATACAGGCTATGGTTTTTGCAATCACTTGTTATGCATCAGAGAGTTGGACAATGACCAGGGAGGATACAAGGAGAATTGCTGCCTTTGAGCCTTGGTGCTGGAGAAGAGTATTGAGAATACCATGGACTGCTAGGAAAACAAACAGATTTGTCCTGGAAAGGGTTAAAGCGGGTGGCTCCTTGGAGGCCAGGATTCTGA